CCATCACATTTATATTTTTCTACTTGTGTATTCCTTAGGAATTCCATTAACAATTAAGTGCATTGGGTTTGGTAAGGATCCAATTTATTCGTATTCACATTAAGTTTTATAAATTAATTGATTGGTACACTTAATATTTTCATTGATATTAAGATTTGATTCACGATAATACCATGTTAATAACTCCTTCCTCCTATCCCCAAATTGTAACTATTCAAAAAAATGAAATTCTATACATGTTCTATCTTCTTAAAAATCTAAAGTAAACTTAACTGCTTAATATAGAATTTTGCCTATATTTTTCTCCTTTTGTACTTTTTTCTTAGGAATTCCATTAACAAGGAGGTCCACTGGGTTCAGTATGGATCCAATCTGTATATATTTTATCTCCTCAAGAAGGCCAAGCCCAAGTTTGTTTACCTAACAACTATTTTTATTTTGTTATAAAAAGGAATACAGAAGCACAAAATTTCTGCCATGTAATGTTCTGAACCCGTTTGTTAAAAAATTAGGAAAAGAAAATTGTCAATTTGAATGTGTAAGGATAGGTCCGAAGGTCCTGAACCTTAGACGTACTGCTACAATTCCTTAATAGCCGAAGTGAAGTTAAATTCAGCATTTCCTGGTCAAATGGCTGCATGATAAATACAGTGAACATGCCCACACCTAAGTTGTCACACACAATTTCCCAATCCTGAAATTATCGCGTGAAGGGACACGTCACACGCCAATTATCTTGTTAAGCAAGCCACATGGATACCTCACTAAGGCCTATAAATACCCCCCAGGGGCCACCCTAAAAAAGGTAATTGAAACCAACCTAAAGCTCCTTTTTCCATTATTCTAGAGATAGATCCGATTATTGCTGACTTAAGCATCGGAGTGTCTACCTCGAGGACCCATCTCGGGGCTTTACAAGTTCATCTGGAGTGAAGAAGTGGACTGAAGAAGGATCTCTGGTTTGGTGCAATTACATTGGCGCCATCTGTGGGAATCCGAACTAAAAGCTCTTTTGTTGCTTTCTCATCATGGTCAACACTCAATCTGTCCGAGTTGGAAATCAGGCTCAACCTCTTGGACAAGGTCAAGGTCAATACCTCAACAACCTTCCACATCACCCCCCACCTCAAATTCCAAATCTATTCCCTCCTGTTGAACATGCAGAAGGAGGAGATGAAAACCAACCTCACAACTTAGCCCACAACTCAGCCCACAACTCAGCTTCCACTCCCAATCAAGGAGATGTAGCCACAGCTCAGCTTGCTGCCATGCAACAACAGTTCAGTGTCTTTCAGATAGTTTTGGCTCAGCTCCTAGCTTGTAATAATCTTGGTGATCCCTTCATCAATCAACTCAACCCTACTCAATAACCCCCCGTTCAACAGCAAGACCCTTAACCAATTCAACATGCTCCTGTTCTTAGTGAGTCTCAAGGTTAGTCCCATGTAGTCCCAGTTCAGCAATCTCTACCTGATGATGTCACACGACGTCTGAACAGCTTAGAAAAACTAGTAGCTGAACAACGAGGTGCCTCACCTCCACACTATAACACTGCTTCTATACCTCATCCTCTGAACACTAACATCACATTGGAACCTTATCCTGCTGGTTTCAAAATACCTCAGCTCGAGACATACAATGGGACGAAGGATCCAGATGATCACCTCTATGCCTTCTACTCCTCTATGCAAGCTTAGAACGCTTCTAATGCGTTGATGTGCAAAATTTTTCCCTCCACTCTTCGTGGTAATGCTCGAACCTAGTACTATAGTTTGCCTCCAAGATCTATCAGCTCTTATATAGAAATGGCATTTGCTTTTGCTACAAAGTTTTCCAGTAGAAGGTTGATTAGGAAAACCACTTTTGAACTGATGCGAGTCAAACAGAGGGAAGGAGAGTCTCTAAAGAATTACATGAGCAGGTTCAATGATGCAGTCCTCGAAGTAAGCTCATTCAACCAAGCTGTGGGAATTGCGGCTGTAATTCAAGGTCTCCAACACAAAAGATTTAGAGATAGCTTAATTAAGCATCCTGCTGCTACTTTTAATGAAGTTAATGATAGATCTTTGAAATTCATAACTGCTAAAGAATATGCCCTATCATAGAAACCAGTTCTTCCCAAGAATCAAAACCCAAATTGGAGAGATGAGGGTCAAAGCAGAAAGCGGATGAAGACAGTACAGAGCCGAGGTCCAATGTCAACCTCCACATCGAGATTCAGAAAGCCGAACTCAATACCCCCAGCGAATTACCAGTAAAGCACCAGTTACATGGACTCCTTTCAATCGGCCGAGGTCGTAGATATTTATGTAGATCAAGAATAAGATGGTTTTGAGGTGATTAGGGCCGATGAGAAGTTCTGCTGCTACACGTGATCATACTAGATACTGTAATTTTCATCAAAATTACGGTCACACAATGGAGCAGTGTAATCTCCTTCCTCCTATCCCCAAATTGTAACTATTCAAAAAAATGAAATTCTATACATGTTCTATCTTCTTAAAAATCTAAAGTAAACTTAACTGCTTAATATATAATTTTGCCTATATTTTTCTCCTTTTGTACTTTTTTTCTTAGGAATTCCATTGACAAGGAGGTCCACTGGGTTCAGTATGGATCCAATCTGTATATATTTTATCTCCTCAAGAAGGCCAAGCCCAAGTTCGTTTTCCTGACAACTATTTTTGTTTTGTTATAAAAAGGAATAACAGAAGCACAAAATTTCTGCCATGTAACGTTCTGAACCCGTTTGTTAAAAAATTTGGAAAAGAAAATTGTTAATTTGAATGGATTTCAGATTCTTCCTTTTTTTTTTTTTTTTGCTAATTCAAAATATTATTTTATGGTACAAATTGCAAAACATAAACACTTGCTAATTAATGTCAAAGTATTCTTTTTGATTGAACGAGCATTCTGACCTAATAACATTGAATTTTGAATTAAAATTGTTCACCTTTTATCGGTTGCATATTCAAATTTTACGGAAACTCTTTTCTTCATCTCCAATTAATCTGTAAATAATTGTAATATATTTTTTTAAAAAAAGTATTCTTTTTGGTTAATTATGAGTTTGGTTTCCTTGTTAAACTGGAAACTAGGACCAGTTAATAATTTTGGAACCAAAAAAATTGAACCATGACTGCCCAATTGAGACCGAATCCGATGAAGAACTGCTCAAATGTCAGTCCTAGTTTATATCTCTACATTAAAAATAAAGGGTGTGTTTAACTTGCATTTTAAAAATACAAGTTAAAAGTATATTCATTGTATATATTTTATATAAAATTACAAAAATTTCCTTTATTTTTTTTAACCAATGCCACATATATATTTTTTAATGCTAATACTATAATTAAAATATTACGTCAAATTATAAATTTATAATTTTATATGATAATAAATAAATATATATATAATATCATATGTAAACATAGAAAGAGATAATTATATAAAACACATAATTACAATACTACATATCATTATAACCATAACATTTTAATATTTTTTTTTATCTTGGTTGCACAATGAAAGGCAATCATCTATCATCTCTTATTACATCTCATTCATATGCCATGCGACTCAAACTCAAGATTTTTATTTGCAACGAAATGAAATAACTATTAAGTTATTTAGATCATTGATAATATTTTAATATTTTTAATTAGATATAATTAATAAAATTAAAGTTATTTTTTAATTCTTTAATTTAAATTAATTATAAAAAAAATAAATACACTCATAATATATTAGGATATAAGTTATAAATTCTTAAAAATAAACTGTAAACCAAAACGGTTAGGCTCATATTGAAATCCGGGCTTTCACATTATTTTATTTTTCAAAAAACGAAGATAACAATTTATTTATGATTATTTTATTATATTATTTATCTAAAAAGAGCGATTAACAACTTAAATAATTCGATAATCATTTTCTTCTATTATAAATGAGAGGTTTTAAATTTGAATCGCATGATATACAGAGTGAGATAGGATAAAAGATGAGAGATAAAAGATAAATGTTTTCCATTATGTAACAAAAAAAAAAAGGGTAAAATTATGCCGTGCCAACTAGATTTACTTGGCACCCCATAGACTGTTCAAATTATTATTGAATACTGTATCATAAATAAATTTATTACTCAGAGGCATCACACCATACATTTTGCATTCCAGCTTTCTGATTCAGTGTATGAGCCTCTTGGTTGGTTGATGGACTCGAAGCATTCCATGGAAAGTCAAAGGTTAAAATTTTATTTCGGTCCTTCTAGTTAATAAAAAAATATTTTAGTTTCTCTATTTAAAAAAATTATTTTTAGATTCTAATGTTTATTATTTGACTTTTTTTTAGTCATTTTGTTATTTTTTTTATACATTTAACAGATTAAATAATAACAATTTCAAAGTAGATGAATTAAAAAAGAGTTTTTTTAAAGTAGAATGATCAAAAGAGAGCTCTTTTTAGTTTCTTTTTATTTATTTTTTATTTATTTTGAAATTTCAATCATCTAATACATCACATATATAAAAAGATAATAAGAGGCTAAAAAAGATTTCTTTTAAGTAAAAAAACTAAAAAAAAAACCTTTTTCTAAAATAAAAAAACCAAACTAAAGTTTCAATCAAAGTTAAATAAGTCCCTCAATGCTTTTTCATGGCTAGTATAAGGTTTTTTTGTATATAAGTACATTTTTTAAACATGCCTTTATAAAACTAGCATTTTTTATCCCATGCAAAATGTTTTTATTAGCAACTTATAAATGTAGTTCTGCCAAACGAGCTTAAATTTTATTGATAATGCCGATCATCTTTTGGTTTGGTGGAATAATAGCT